ACAGAACTGTGTCACTAGGTAACCATCCACACATACAAGAGCCACACAGAATAGTAGTTAAACATCTAGTCTGTGCAAAACAAGCACCATCATTCTCCTATAACTTTGAAGGTCTTTCTTAAATTACTCTGGTGGTCTGGTCTTCCTGAAAAATTTATTTTCTGAATGTGATTGACATTTATGCTACTGAATTTCATTATTCTTTTCTAGCTATTACCATTTTTGGGGACTGAATTCTGGCTGAAGAGCTTTTCCTTTCAGACAAGCGTCATGTGAAAAACATGCTAACATATCTTCCATTTCTCTGTGCAAGTCCCTGGTAAAACTCTGTTCAGTGTTGGACAGAGTACATCTCTGGATCACTCTAGAATGATGAGGCTAATTCCCACAGAGCCCCTTGGTGCAGCTTTCTAGGGACTCCCCTATCACATAGCATATATTTAAATACTGAATCAGTCTTCTTATTAACATCACACTAAGCTCAGGAACTATGTAGGTATTGTTTTGCCTAGATAGTCATCAAGGTACACCTGCCTTTAGAGAGCTTGCACCAACTCTAGGGAGCTAAAATGAAGACTTTGTAGGAAACATTTAGCCACACAAGACTACCCAGGGTTAATGTCCAAGAACAGCACATAGATCTTCAATAAATACAAAAGTGGACCAGCTAATGGTTCAACAACAACAACAAAAAATTATAACAAGACAAGAGAAATGGGCCTTTCGAGTCTCCCTCACAGCAGGCTTAGCCTGTGCATTCTGTTAATTAACTCTCACAACTAACCCCATGAGGTTCATTCTATTACCTTTGTTTGGGAAAGGAAACTGAGGAAAGGTTCAAAAGCTTGCCAAAGGTCACAGGTCATGTGTAATATGCAGCTGTTAAGTTCAGTCCACCTCTGAAGCCCCTGAAGCTTGAGCAGTCACTTGTGGTTCTGCTGTTGGGTTCCAGTAGCCATGAGACATGATATGTGTAGGGGTGCCCTGAGAGCCATGCTAAGGGCACACCTGAATGTCTGCAGCCCATAGGGAAGCAGAAGGTGGTTGGCTTGGTGAGACCAAAGGCTACAAGGCTCTCATGCTACAATGTGGGGACAACCCATTTCTGTTCCTTCTCTCTCCTAAGTGAAAACCACTGAAAGTGCCCCCCAGAAGTGGTCTGATTAATGAGGTGTCAGTGGAAGCCACCATCATTCTTGATATAGTGATGGCCACTAACCTGGACTGTTCACAAAGCCATTAGGGAGAAAAAAAGGGGGCAGGTTCCAAGAGGGTTCCAGGCTCCAGGTCAGTGAGAGGAGCAGCTGGGGAGGCTGTGGGTGAGGCAGCTCACTAAGGTGAGAAAATATGTGAGCACACGAGTAAAACCAGATGGCTCAGTAGCTGTAAGTTACAGATGAAGTTAGCAACTGGGCCTTGGAGTTGTGGAAAGGGAGAGTAAAAGAAGTATTTCTACTTCAAATCAGTATATACAGACATTCTGGGAGAAAGGCTACCTCTCAGAAAACAGACTTGTGCAGTACTAACTATGTTAGCCCCAGAATGGTTTATACCGCTGTTTCAGTGTGCCTGCAAAAAGGGTGAAGAAACAGCTCCCATGTGAGAGGGTTTATCGTCTCCAGAGCATGTTGTCCTTCATCTTACAGAGACTGTCAGGTCAAAAAGCACATGGCCATCTTTAGAGAAGTGTTTATTTGTGCTTATGCTCATGATTTGGTTGAGTTGTTTTCTTTTGGTTGTGTTGCTTGAGTTCTTTGTAGATCTTGGATTTCAGCTACTTGTCAGATGTATGGTGTACAAATATTTTCTCCAATTCAAGGGTACCTTTTGGTTTTAATAATCATTTCTTTTGCCATACAGAAGCTTTTTATTTAATATAATCCCATTCATTTATTTTTGCTTTTGTTTTCTGTTGGAGACCAGCTCCAACTATTGAGGTGTCTGGAGGCAGCACAGGCAGGACCCTAAGGTGGGAAGGCGTCGGCAAGCGGAGATTCCTAAAAAAGGGGAGAAGGAAAAAAGGGAAAAGGGGAGCGAGGAAGACACGGGAGTCGGAGTTGGGTGCAAGTCTTCCTGCTCATCTTTTTGCAGCTCTTATTCATTTATTTTTGCTTTTGTTTTCCTTGATGCTGGAGTCAAGTCCCCAAAGACTAATTCAGAAGCCAATGTCATATGGTGTTTTCCCTGTTATTTTTCATGTATTTTATTGTTCACAGACTTACATAGAAACATCTTTGATCCATCTTGAGTTAGTTTTTGTATGCAGTGTGAGAGAGTGGTGTAGTTTCATTTTCTGCATGTGGTCTCCACTTTTCCCACTACTATGGACAGAGCAGTAGATCAAGATATGGTATATGTACACAATGGGATACCACTCAGCTATAAAGAACGATGAACTCCTGATAACATGAAAGGAACTGGAAGTGAAAAAAATCTGAATAAGAAGACAAATAATGGATGATTTCACTCATGTGTAATATAGATGGAGTGACAGTAGATGGAGAAAGACAAATACCCAATGATTTCACTCATGTGTGGATACAGAGGAAACAAACAGAGCAAAAATAAACCAAAAAGCAGCTGACAAAGCTAAACTAAAAACAACTCTAGAAATATGCTTGCAGAATTGAGGTTATCAGTAGGGAGGGTATGAGTGAAGGAAGTGAGGAGAGCCGAGTACTCCAGGAGCCCCAAGGGCCACGGGGAATCTCACTGGGGGAAGATTTAAGGATGTATGTGAGACACAGCACCCCAGGCAGAGGATGGCTTTCAAGTGCAGGCAAGAGGCATGGAGAGTAGCTGGGATAGAGAGGAGGAACTTCCCTCTCATCCTGCAGGCAGGGTAAACTGGAAGGAGCCTCTCCAGTGGCCAATCACACCATCTGTGTAAGTCTGCAGAATCAGGAAGGGCCATCAGAAAGCCAGCTGATAGCATTCCCAGAACTTTGCCCAAGCTCTCAGCTTTTCTGATGACATCTCAGGCCACTTTGCAAAGAAACCAGCTGGTGGGGTCTCAATGGGTCTTCTGCAGTGGGTGAGTCCCACTGTTGCCTGCCCTAGGGCTCCCTATAAGGCTTTTCTTCACTTCTCAAACCACGACTTAAAGGAAAATGCACAAACATTAATTATGTACAATTTACAGCTGCATACTGGTGGGTAGCCACTTCTGAGATCAAGATAGAAAGAACCTTCACATCGCAGGCAACCTCCTCTGGCCCCATTGACATTACTCCAAAGTCCTGACTCTTAGCTGAGACTAGCACTTTTCCTGCTTTTGAACTATAAATAACAATTACACTGCCTGCCTACTCCTTTGTCTCATTTCTTCCAAAAATAAATCAGTGAAAGTCATGATGTGCTAAATGTCTGTCCCATGTCTGCCTTCAAGGCAAGATAATAGTCCAGTATACGAACAGACCATCACTTTATTTATCTGTTCCACTAAGGATGGCTATTTGTGGTATTCCCAGTTTGGGTCATATTAATAAACATTTTATGAACATTCTTGTAAATTTCTGTAAGAGTCTGCCTGCGAAAAAATGTTCCACTGATTAAAACTTTCAGAAAGCTAAGTTTTTTGACTTCTAGATTTTAGTGTGAATAGTATTCATGGATCAAGTTCTTTGATGCTAAGCAACAGAATAGAAAGAGCACTTCTGGGAGGTGAGGTAAAGGCACAAATGAAGCACACAAGGTATTAGGAGAAGTGTGAACCTTACAAATGTATTGAGTGTGTGTGTGTGTGTGTGTGTGTGTGTGTGTACTCATTATTGTTAGGTCTCAGAGTCTCCTGGGAAGCTTATCCAAAATAATATTGAGAGTACCACTGTTACAGAATGTTTAGAGAAGAGGTAAGAAATGACAGAAGATGAAATTGAAAAAAATAGATTAGGGTCAAGCTAACAAGAGCCTTGAAGGTTAGCTAAAACATTTGATGTTATCCTGTAAAGGATGAAGTAACAGGAATTGCCAGATGTGTTTTAAAAATACCTACTAGTACCCACAAATGCTCTGTAGGTATGACAAAATCAGCCATGTCACCTACCAGTGTGAGGAACCCTGCACCAGGTTAAATGAACTGTCATTTGTTACTGGCGGTCATTGAGGGAGCAGGTGAAGGATTGATTAGAGCAAATGACCAGTGTTCCACGTCCTCCTACCATCTATAAAGTAAGTTTTCTGTGCTCTGCTTGTTCATCTATAAAGTCCATTTAGAAGGTTGTTGAAAAGATTACATTAGAAATATTTTTAAGTTTTTGGCATCCAGCCAAAAACTCATAATCATACTCATACTCAGTGAGCATCAGCTGAAATTTTCTGGGATAAATCCAGTAGTTAACAGATAAGTCATTTGGTCAGCTCATGGACACTTCATGAATAAACCTTCACTGACAAATGGTGCACATACACAAGCACATTCTGGTTCATACAACAGCCATCCATGGTTAACAGGGTCTTAAAAGTCAAACATACTCAATGCTCCCCATACAGTACTGCCTATAACTCAGTGATCCAAAACCTAGTTAAAAAAAAAAAAAAAAAAAGAGAAAGAACAAAGAATTAATGGGCCTCAATTTAGTCTCATCTTTTCTTTAGGGACTCATAGTTTAACAAGTCATCCAGATGCCTAGGAAGACAGTGCAAATGGCCTGCAACATTTCCTTCTGCTCTGGTTGCAGTGTCAAAGGCAATGTTATCTTTGGATCTGCACTCTTCTCCTTCAGCACTGGGGAGACAAGGGAAGCAGTACTTCAGAGAGTCTCAGAAAAGCGGGTGCCAGCCATCGGCCTCACAGGAGTCCTCCTTCATGGTCCACAGTAAGAGGGACAGGGAGTTCAAAACTGGCCCAGGCACTTCTCACACCACAGTGGCTCCAATAAAACCCACATGCAGTCCCTACTTGACCTTAGATTAAAGTGGAATAAACTCTTTCTCTCTTAAAAAAGGGGATGCTAAGGTCAGGTGATGAAACAAACAAAAGTGTGAGAGCATGGCCTTACCTCCACGTAGAGAAGGGGGAAAATCCCAATTTTGTCCCCCAACATGCCTTCTGCCCAGTTGTCGTCCACCCTTCTGATCACAGTCAGAATTTCATCCTGGAATTGCCGGATCACAAGCACACGGAGGTACACACACAACAAATAAGAAAGCAAGACACTGGTTAGTGTTGTCAGGAATGAGAAAAGATTTTAAGCAATGATTCAAAACCAGTGTGTTACCTCCTGGTGATCTGACATGAAGCCTTCCCTATCTCTTCACCCAGGGTGGTCTCCTTCTTTCTCTCTTATGTATCAATTACAGGTGCAAAGACCCTCACATGGAGAAACATGGTAACTATAATACAGTTAGTATTTTTAAGTTCATGTTTCTATTATTTACTTAATGAAATAAAAATATTTTGAAAAAATATAAATTCAGCTAAGTATTAACATTTTACGTTTCTGCCCCCATGAAAGATCAAAACTGCATTTAGAGTCATAGGTATATAAAAGCCTTAAATAATCCTCTAAAATTCTTTGGTATGCCAGATAATTCAAGTCTCCCCCTCTAACTAAAAGTAGAATGTTTATATGAGTAGCTTTTGTAATTCAAACTGGCTTAAAGTGAAAAAGCAATTACCATTAATAACTTTTACTGACATAACATTATCATACCATTATGTAAGTTTCTGGTGTCAAGCACCAAGAATCAACATTAGTATTTACATTAAAGTTACTTGCCATATCATTGTTCCCTTTTTACCAGTGTACTCTCACTGGGTCCTTTCTGGTAACCCTTAAATGGCCTTACAGCCTAAAAGTTTACTTTTGTTTTATTTAGTTCATCTATTTCTTGGTTTTCTCACGCATATGAATGAAATCACACTATTTGCTTTTGTTGACTGGCTTGTTTCACTAAGCAAAACTCCCTCTAGTCTTTCCATTATGTTGCAAATGGCATGATTTCATTTTTTTTAATATTTGAATATTATTCTATGGTGTATATAAACTGGATCTTCTTCATCCATTCATCAATCAATGGGCAATATTGTTTCCAATTCTAATCTATTTTGCACAATGATGCAATAAATATGGGGGGGAGCATATATCTATTCAAATTATTGTTTTTGTATCACTCAGGTAAATATCCAGCAGTGAGGGGCCCTACCTGGTGGCACAGCGGGTTAAAGCACAGCACTAAGAAGCTAAAGCCACTTCTGCATGAGTTCGATTCCCCCCTGTCCTGGAGGTGACCACATGGCGTGGCAGACCTCTCCTGACCCGCCCGCTGCTCCCCTCAACAGTGTATTTCGTCAATCTGCCTGTTCTGTTCCCCACTCTGTCTCTGGTGAATTCTCTCACCCTCTGCATCTCTGGCCTGTAACCCAGTTCTGTACAAATAAATAAATAAATCTTTTAAAAAAAAATATCCAGAAGTGAGGTATCATATTGTATAGAATTTCTATTTTTAAGTTTTTTGAGGAATCTTCACAGTATTTCCCATAATGACTGCACCAATTTATATTCCCATCAATTAGTATCTATCCTACTCAAACTGTTCTGTTAATCAAAAAGGGAGGAAGACCTCCAGGTGCATTCTGTGAAGTCTATTTTACTGATTCTGAATCCAGACACAGAAATCACAAAACTACAGATCATTATCTCTGATATAAAGGATGTAAACATTCTAAGTAAATTTTGTCAAATTGAATCTAGTAACATTTTAAAAGGGCCATACTTCAGGATCAAGTGTGATTTATAACATTAATTTATATGGAAATATTTGAGTATTCCCAGATCCCCAAAATAACCTACCAAATCATACCAAATAACATATTAAACCTAAAATAACATAAACACAATAAAAGAAGGTGTGATATGATAAATTCACAGTCTGTATTAAGTAGTTCTAGAAAGTAGCTTGGTAATGCTACTCTCCCTTCTCAGTTTTGCTGTCTGTAGAACAGCTGATATAAACCAACACTAAAAGCTCTTTTTGCTTTTGGTCATAAAAGTGAAAATCCCTGGTAGTGCAGGGATTAAAATTTTAGTGCTATCAAGCTATCACCAGCTACTTCAGCATGAATTACAGCCCAGGGGGCCAGGGAGCTGACATACATAGCACAACAGACTTCTGTCTCACCTGCTGCTCCCCTCAGCAGTGTATTTCAGTAGACCTGCCTGTTCTGCTCCCTACTACATCTCTGCTTAACCCTCTCACCCTCTGTACTTTTGGCATGTACCCCAGTTCCTACATGCATAAATAAATAAATCTTTTTTAAAAAGTGAAAATCCTCAATTTCTTTTGGATTTGGAAAGCAGGTACTGATGTTGATCTTTTATAAAGTCAAATTGGCATAAGGTAAATATTTGAAAACTGGGGGATATCTATACCAAAAGGAAAAAAAAAGAGAAGGAAAGGAAGAGGCCTGATGTAGAAGGAAAGAGGAATTTCAGGAAACTGCAAGACAAGTAGTTGGTAGGGAAGGACACACCCATGATTCGTCCATAGAAAAAAGACTGAGGAGTGAAGAGAACAACATAAGGGATTCACTGGAGGAACACTGGCAGAGAAAGACAGTACAATGTGAAGCAACTGTAAGAGGGTCAAACAGAAATGCCATGAGCAAAGATCCTACATCATGGGCATTTGGCTAGCCTCTGTGCCCTTTCAAATGACCAACCTTTCTTCAATATACTCAGCATATAATGGAGATCCCCAGGGACCATCTGCTTAACCTCCCCAAAGCTCCACTTCTGTACCACATTAAAGCCCCCTTGTCACTTGTCCCTGAAGTATATGCTAGAAGAGCAGCTGGCCCATCAGGGACTCTAATGTGCTAAAGAGCCAAGAACAGCCTAATGGAGTAACCCCCATTGGATTTCTATGTACCATCTGGCTTTCCAATGAGGTTTCAATGCTTTAATGTAAAGCAATAATATGGACATGATACATTGTTCCAAGGGTAAGAGAAACATTCATACAGAAAGACTTCATAAATTTATCATAGAAGCTGTTTCACTGTAAGCTGGTAGATCATACAGCTTTGGGCTTTATCATCTAGGGTAAGACAGAATGATCTAATGCAGGCAGAGAGGCCTTTCAGAGGACACAGAGAGGGAAAAATGAGGATGAGCATCTGCACTCTGAAGTTCCTCTCCTACCAGTACAATGTAAAGTTTAGGGGAAATCACACCCACTTATCTAGGATTTCCCAGCTATTAAAAAATCTAAAATGACAAAATAACGTATGACTTTAGAATATTCATTTTCACATCGGTATAGGTCATAAAAATGGAAAAGGCCTGAGAACATCAGACAATTTCACAGGTACTTTGCACTTGGGTTACAAGAAAGCATCTACAAGGGTTTTCTTTTAACAAATGCTCAGCCACTTCAATATGTGAACTTTTATGATAACTTTAGTACAAAGTGGTCAGCTGACTACAGGAAAACTGTACAGAAAATGCCTCTTAGCTCCCGGAATCTGCTCACCTCACAAGTTCACAATTATATTCAACCAATGAAAGGTATATTGGTGATTCAAGAGGGAAAACAAATAAACAAAGTTTCTATAGCTCAGAGCTTTTGTATCAACCAAAAACAACAACAAAAGCAATTTAGTTTTGTCAATGGAAAAATAACAGACCAGATCAATTTTGGTTAAAAGAAAAATAACAGGGTCCTCTCTGGTGGCGCAGTAGGTCAAATCACAGCATAAAGAAGCTTAAGCCACTTCCAAATGAGTTTGATCCCCGCTTACCCTGGAGGAGATCCATATGGCGAGGCAGACCTCTCCTGACCTGCCCACTGCTCGCCTCAGCAGTGTACTTCGTCAATCTGCCTGTTCTGTACCCCGCACTGTCTCTGGTGAATCCTCACCCTCCGCATCTCTGGCCTGTACCCCAGTTCTGTATGATTTAATAAATAAATCTTAAAAAAAAAAAAGAAAAAAGAAAAATAACACAGCATCAAAGCTATTATTTAAAAGTGGCTCAGAGGCTATAGCCCTGGAGATAAACTAAGCCAACTCAGCTAGGGAGAAGAAACCAAATTGTGGGAAAAGACTGCATCTTGGAACCAGGAGTGCCCAGACCCACGGATACGCCACAGATGTGTTGTTATACCTTGCCCAGCAGCCCAAACAAAGTCCTGGATAAAAACTGAAACAAAGCAGCAAGGCACAACAAGCACAGAGGCAAGCTGGGACATCAGAAGGCTACAAAGATCAAGACACCTTCCAGAAACACAGACTCAACGTGTTACTAGAAGAGGCTGAACACTACAAGAGACCCCATACTGTTACCAGCTAAGATGACAGACACAATTACACACATTGGGGGCTGGTAAAAATAACACAACTCAGAATACCCTCCACAACTGAAGTGTCTGGAAGTCCCTCAGCCATTCCAGAAAGAACATCCAAAAAAAAAAAAAAATGCTGGTCAATAATAGCAACACTATATCTCAGCGAATAGAATTAGAAAATACACAACAGGGAAAAGAAGACAAACAAATATCCAAGCAAGTCCACAGCAGGAAAATTCAACACAAAAAGATCAGTCAGCAGAAACCACCAAAGAAAAAGAATGGTTCAGCCTACCAGATAAAGAATTCAGAATCATCATAATAAACAAACAAAAAGAAGATGAGAAGGGAAAAAATGAAATGAGGCAAGCCATCAAGGAATTGAAGAATGCAAGCAAGGAAATGAATGAAAGAAAGGAAAATGATACAGGACAAGCAATCAACAAACTGAAGAAAGAAAATGAGACATTAAAAAAGGAAATAGAATAAATGCAGGCGATGAAAAGGCCACTAAAAGAGATAAAGAAAGCTGGGGAAAGTTATGAAAACAGAATAGATGAAATGGAAGAATGAAACAGCACCCTTGAAGACACAGAAACAAAGAGAATTTTTTAAAAAAGGAAAAGAAGTAAAAAGGAAAAGGAATGAAGAAACACTTCAAGAGCTACCTGACACCATTAAGAAAGGAAACATCAGAGTTATAAGTATCCTAGAAGGCAAAGAGAAGGACCAAGGAATAGAGACATTCACACAGATAATAGAAGAGAACTTCTCTAGTATGAAGGAGATGAAAGTAGACATCCAAAAA